CTGGGACTTTTCAGTTTAGAAAAGAGACGACTTGGGGGGGGGGACAAGATAGAGGATTATAAAATTATGCATGGGATGGAGAGAGATGAAGAAGAGAGAAGAGATTGGATTTATACCCTGCTGCCCTTCACTACCCAAAGGAGTCTCAGAGCGGCTCACAGACTCCCTTCCCTTCCCCTCCCCACAACAGACACCCTGTGAGGTAGGTGGGGCAGAGCTGTTGACAGAAACGGCTCTTTTTCAAGGACAGCTCTTATCAGAACTAGGGCTTGCCCAAGGTCACCCAGCCAGGTGCAAGTGGAGGAGGAGTGGGGGAATCAAACCCGGTTCTCCCAGTTTAGAGTCCGCGCACTTAACCATGACACCAAACTGGTGAAGAAGAGATTGGATTTGTACCCCACCGATCACTACCCAAAGGTGTCTCAGAGCAGCTTACAAACCCCTTTCCCTTCCCCTCCCCACAGCAGACACCCTGTGAGGTGGGTGGGGCCGAGAGAGCTCTGACAGAAACGGCTCTTTTTTCAAGAACAGCTCTTATCAGAACTAGGGCTTGCCCAAGGTCATCCAGCCAGGTTAAAACATCAAATGGCCAAGTGATTAAGAGAGTCTGGCAAAGCAAAGCTATGACGCAGCAGCAGCAGCAGCAGAACTGGAAGCAGGAGACGGCCGGTTCCACTGTGGGCCTGATGGAAGCCCTCCGGGGGCCTAATCCGGCCCCCCGGGCCGCACGTTTGACACCCCTGCTCTAGGCGATGTACAAAGCTTAAACCATAAAAGCATAAAACCATATGCAGCATATTATACAGTATTTAAAAGCAAGTGGCAAAACTTTTGCAGTTCCCTTCCATATCTGGTCTGTGAGTGGAATGAACTCCACAAGGGATGGGGATCCAGGTGGTGTCCTCGCGATGGTGTGAACCATTGCTGCCCTCAACCAAACGCCTGGCGGAACATCTCTGCCTTACAGGCCCAGCGGAATTCCGTAAGATCCCGCGGGGCCCTGATGTCGTTTGGCAGAGAGTTCCACCAGGGCGGGGCCGGGCGTGAAAAGGCCCCGGCCCTGGTTGAGGTCAGCCGGATGTATCTAGGGCCGGAGGACACCAGCAAGTTGTTCCGTGAAGAGCGTTATGCTCTCCCGGGGGTATACTAGCAACTTGCTTTTCTTAGCCCCGTGTTGTATTACAGATGCAAAAATACAACAAACACCGTGTGAAACAATGCAGTACGTTAATATGATAGTAACGGTAACACTCTTTGTATTCAGTACAATATAGAATAAGGCTGCGGTCACACGGAGCATTAGCCACACTACAGAGACGGAAGATAGGCGGATTTTCCGGGCGCGATCACACCGCAACATCTGGGAAGCGTAGAGCTCCCGGGGCGAACCCGAGGCTTCCCGCCGAAGATGCGGCGTAAAAAACTAGTACCTCCGAGGTACTAGTTTCCGGAAACCGCGGGGCAAGGGCGGGCGTCTGATCGCGTTTCCGGTGGTAGTTCGTGGCATCCGGCGCCCGCCCATGTCCCGTCGCAAAAAGTCCCCCCCCCAAGTCTCCACGGGATGCGCACACGCACCCAACGGTGCATGCACACACTTCGGTTAAAAAAAACACACAACCCCATTTGCCACGGCAGCGGCGCCTAGCCCTTGCTGCTGTGATCGCGTCGCGCCGCGCCGCTTTTTTGCCGCGCCGCAGGATTGTCGTGTGATCAGCACCTCCCCCCGAACCACGGGACGTCAGCAGAACGTGTGATCCGGCAGCCGCGCGTTAGTTTGCTCCGGGGCAAACAGCCACGCTTCCCCCGCCGCATTTTCCGGCCCGTGTGACCTGGACCAAAGTTCAGTAAGTCAATAGCCGTGGCACAATGAGCATATATATACCCCAACAGGTGTTAATTCTCACAGGCAGAGTCTCTTTAATTTTTCTTCTGTTGACAGAATGAAGTCGTCAACACGCTTCTCCGGACTGTAAGTATGCAGCTTCAGACGGACTTCCTCAGAACTGCAAATAGGCTGGAAGCAAAGCCTGCAAATGTTATACGTATACAGTAACCATTTTGCCAAGCTGAAGAGAAACGAGGCAGCGGTTACAGGATTCTGTTCTGCGTTGTATAATATTGGAAGGCTTTGGTTCCAGTCTGTTTGCATGAACTGCGGGACTGGATGCAGATAATGGATGTGTTCATGGCCATGTGCTATTGGAGCCCTGTTTTACATGTAAGGAAGCACTCAGTTAAATCTCATTCACCTGGGATCTGTTGTATATCCCAGTGACAGAACCACTGTGACAGGAACCGGGGTCCTTGGAAGAAACTGCTGCAGGTTGTCTTTTGAATAGGTATAGATAGGAACTCTTGGTCTGGGGCAATTGATGCTCTGTATTCTTGGTGCTTGGGGGGGGCAACAGTGGGAGGCCTTCTAGTGTCCTGGTGTTAGCCATGCTGCCATGAGGTTTGGGATGTTCTTTCAGTGTCTGTGTAAATTGCTTTCGCATTCCTTTCTCTCTGCTCTGCACTAAAATGCTAATCTCCAAAGCCGTACAGGTGGTAATGTGTGTTGTCTGCCTTCAAGGCCGACCGTGGGAGCCGCACAATTCCCAGATTTGCCTAGTAACGCTTGCCGGCTCTAGCCCGCGCGCAGGAAGGTGCCTAATTGGCCAGCACAGTGGGGGCGTGCATACGAATGCCCTATATCTCATTAGGTTCAAGAGGCAACTGCTATTCTTAACAGTGACTATGTTAATGCATCTATGGCTCTTCAATAAAAGTATAACTTTTCTAAAGAAGTGGCCCCACCGGTGGACCCAACTGGTGGACCTCCTGATGGCACCTGGTATTTTTGGTGACTGTGTGACAGAGTGTTGGACTGGACGGGCCGTTGGCCTGATTAATGCTCCCTCTAAGCTGTGGAGTCTTGTGAGCAAAAATCCTACTGTGTGAATTCCTGGCATTAAAGTTGTGAGCGAGCGACTTGGCCGCTGCATAAATTAGTTTGCTCTGGAGCCATCCCTCCCTGAGCTGAGACAGAAATGGGTGCGCTGGAGGCTAAAAAACTGTGAGCTTGCTCACACTCACTCAGCTTAGAGGGAACATCCAACGTTGGCTTCTCTTACGTTCTTATGGGTGTGTCGGGCAGTGGGGAGGGGGGAATATAAGTCGAATAAATGCATATATAAATAAACCCCCCTCCTTTTCCATTTTTAAGCCAGCAGCCATGGGTTCTGTAAGAGGAGACCACTTCAAGGACATCAGCCCTGTGATAACGCCCGAGGGGAACGTCGTGATGAGCTTCAGTTTCGACAGCTACCAGCTGGAAGAAGAGGAGCTCCAGGCCAAAGGGTGCCAGGCCAAAGGAGTCCTCACCTTCATGGAGCCAGGTAAGCGGCCACATTTCTCGGCGTAATTCCCATAGAGACAGAGAGTTATCTAGACTGGACTACTGCAGTGTGCTCTGCTTGGGGCTACCCTTGAAGAGTGTTCAGAAGCTGCAGCTAGTTCGGAATGCTGCGGCCGGACTGCTGGTCAGGGCCATTGATCGGGAGCACATGTGCTCATTGCTGCAGCAATTACACCGGCTACCGATCTGCTCCCGAGCCCAATTCAAGGTGTCGTTTTTGTCTTCTAAAGCCCTACGTGGCTCGAGACCCCAGGGAATCTGAAGGACGGTCTTCTCCCCTGTGTTCCTGCCCAGGAATTTAGATCACACAGAGAGGCCCTCCTGACTGTCCCACCCATCAAAGGAGCTTGTCTGGTGGGCACGCAAGAGAGGGCCTTTACGGTGGTAGCCCCACGATCATGGAACAACTTCCCCAGGAAGGTGCGCCTGGCGGCAACGCTCCCTCCAAACTGTGGAGTCTTGTGAGCAAGAATTCTCCTTTGTGAGCTACTGGCATTAAAGTCGTGAGCGAGCCATTTGGCTGCTGCATCCAGGGGTCGTTTCGTAGAAAAAGAGCTAGGGGAACTCATTAGCATAACTCATTAGCATATGCCACACCCCCTGACATCACCGGAAGTGTGTCATAAGGCCACGCCCCCTGACATCACCGGAAGGCCCTCCCTGGCCCCAGGCAGGCAGGCAGGGGTGGGGAGAGGCAGGGAGGAAGCAACTTACCCTCCCTCTTCTCCTGCCTCCTCCTGGCTGAATGAGGGCCGGAAGCGGGGCGGCCGGAAGCAGGGGGTGGGGCTTTGTCATGTGCCCCGCCCCCCGTACCTCACCTGGGGGAACTGTGATCCCCCGCGATCCCCCCCGATATGACCTCTGGCTGCATCAACTAGTTTGCTCTGGAGGCCGTCCTTCCGGAGCGGAGACAAAAATCTGTGCGCCGGAGGCTAAAAAGCTGTGCTAGCTCACACTCCCTCAGCTTAGAGGGAACATCCAACATTGGCTTCTCTTACGTTCTCAGCCCCTCACGTTCATTCTTCAGGAGGCAGCTGAAGTCGGTTTTTATTTTGGACTGCACTTGACTAATTTAGCTTTTAATCGTTGGCAGTCCTAGTTGAGATTTTAAACGGTCATACTTTATGTGTTTCTCTGACTGTGGTTTTATTTATAGCGCAAGCCGCCTTGAGTGTCACGAGGTAGAACGGTGGCTAATACCTTTAGTGGTAGATACCAGAAATTTCCAATCAGCATTGATTACTTACGCAAATCCTGTTCTTTCCTTTGGGAAGTAGTGTGTCCTGATCAGGGGTCATTTCGTAGAAAAAGAGGTGCAGGAGCTCATTAGCATAACTCATTAGCATAACATTTGCATATGCCACACCCCCTGATATCACCGGAAGTGTGTCAGAAGGCAACAGCCACCGCTCAGGCTCCACTGGACTGTTTTGGATTGCTAGCCATTGGGGGGGGGGATGTGCAGATCTGCCCTCGCAGAGGAGGGAGAGCTTGTACCTGAATAAAACTTGGTCTTAAAGGTGCCACTGGACTGTTTTAGATTGCTAGCTATTGGGGGGGGGGACGTGCAGATCTGTCCTTGCAGAGGAGGGAGAGCTGGTACCTGAATAAAACTTGGTCTTAAAGGTGCCACTGGACTGTTTTGGACCGGGGGGCTGGGGGGAGCCCTGCAACTTACCTGGCTGCTTCTTGCTCCGACTGAGGGCTGCTAAGAGCAGGGGGTGGGTCTTGTTGCATGTGCCCGCCCCCTGGGCTCTTTACTGCCGGAGCCACTGATATCTCCTCTGCTCTGTATGTTTATCCTATCCTTTGCGGAAGCTGTCTATCCTGGTAGCTGCCACCACTTCCTGCTGCAGTGAATTCCACGTGTTAATTACTCTGGCTGAGGAAGTACTGCTCATCAATTTCATTGAGTGCCCACAAATTCTTGTATTGTGAGGAAGGGAGAAAGGTAGTGCATTCTCTACTTCCCTATCCCATGCATAATTTTGTAAAACCTGTCATGTCCACCCCCTCAGTTGTCGTTTCTACAACCTTTAACCTTTCTTCATAGGGAAAGTGTTCCGTGCCCCTAATCATCTTAGTTGCCCTTTTCTGCACTTTTTTTCCAGTGCTATAATATCTTTTTTCAGGTGCAATGACCAGAACGGGTACACAGTATTCCAAATGAGCCAGTGGTTGATATTGCACACAGTTCTCTTTATTTCTTTCTGTGAGTGAAGGTGTCTCCGAGGCAAGAACGCATATTCACTTGGGTAGCTCCCTCTAGGGTAGATTCCAGACCTCACACCGCAGCAAAGTTCCTAGGTCAGCTCCCTGGAGACAATGATAACCGTCTCTGCAGTTTGACCCGAGTCCCATTTTTTTGGCCGAAAAGCATTCGGTTGTCGGGGTTGTCGGCTGTCACAAGTCTTGGGAGGAAAGCATAATTTTATAGACACCGTGCAGGTTATCAGGTCCCGCTTCAGTAGAATGTAATACAGTGTTTTATTTTAGATGGTTCTCCAACATAATGTGCTGCCTTTGGGGAGTTTGGAACACAGCAATCTATGCAAAACTGAATTATTCAAGAGGGCTTGTCTGCACAGGTTTTGCAGTGGATGAAACGGTTTTACAAACCTGCTTGGATAAATTAGGTTTCCCTTGCTTGAAAGCCAGTTGAATCCAACTCTAGGGATGCGGTGCTCATCTCCGTTTCCAAGCCGAGGATCCAACGCTGTCCAAAGACGTTTCCGTGGTCATGTGGCCGGCATGACTAGACGCCAAGGCACCCAGAACGCTGTTACCTTCCTACCGAAGTGGTACCTATTTATCTACTTGCAATGTCTTGCTTTCGAACTACTAGGTTGGCAGGAGCTGGAACTAGAGACGGGAGCTCACTCCGTCATGCGACACACTCAGGTCTCGAACTGCTGAACTAACGACCTTCCAGTCTGCAGCTCAGCGTCTTAACCACTTGAGCCACCGCAGCCCCATTTGGATAAATTAGGGTTCCCGTATTTTGAAAAGCAAAGAAGAGGCCATGTTTCATGACTGTCTACTTTAAACAAGTGATCACTTAGACAAATCTCGTTTTAAATACCCCCCTACTATTTAAGCTGTGATAATTGCTACTTATTAAGAACATTTAGGGATTCTTCTTTTTTTTAAAGACGTACCGGAACTCTTAAGAGGGAAATGAGGTTTTCAATCTATATACTGAAAACTCATGAACTCTTAAACATAGTTAAAGGAATTTTGTCAAAGAGGTTCCAGAACTCTGTCCCAGCGCATTCCCCCAGGGAAAAAGAACTCGGGTCCCCACCCGGCGTACTAGCCACACCGCACCAGCCTTGGGCTGCATCGTGCTGCAAATCCGTGTGGGCACCCGAAGCCCCCAGAATTTGATCCTGAACGTCCAATTATCTAGAATGGCACAGTGGAATCCTGTGCGTGCTTACTCAGAAGTAAATCCCGCAGTGTTCGAGGCGAAGTCAGCAGGCAGAGGATTCTGCATGTCTTGCTAGTTTTCCAGATACAGGGAGCCGGGCCCGTAGCCAGTATTTTGTGGCTTCTGGGGCAAATTTTGTTTTCTGGTGGGGCTGCCATAGTGAGGGGGGGTGGCACGCACCCCTCCCCCTCCCCTCCTGCAGGATTTAAAGGGCCCTTCAGCTGATCAGCAGAGAGTACGTGGCCCGCCGATCAGCTGAAGGGCCCTTTGGTGTAGTGGTTGAGTGCACGGACTCTAATCTGGGAGAACCGGGTTTGATTCCCCCACTCCTCCACTTGCACCTGGCTGGATGACCTTGGGCAAGCCATAGTTCTCTCAGAGCTGTCCTTGAAAAAGAGCAGTCTCCGTGAAGCGCTCTCTCAGCCCCACCTACCTCACAGGGTGTCTGTTGTGGGGAAGGGGAGGGAAAGGAGTTTGTAAGCTGCTCTGAGACTCCCAGTGAAGGGCAGGGTATAAATCCAATCTCTTCTTCTTCTAAATCTTGCCGGAGGGGAGGGAAAGGGGCACACAACCCCCCCACCCCGCTTCTTCTCAAAAAGCTGGGGGGGGGGCTTAAAAAGCAAGGACCCATTAAGGGAGGGGGCTGGCCCTTTAAGGAAGGGGGCGGCGCCCTCAATAGCCCCACTGTTGCTATGGGCCAGCAGGGAGCCTGTCATGTGGAGCAGAGGATTCTGACATGTAACTCTGATGCTGCCCCCATTCTGGAATCCCCAGAGGGTTTGGATCTAAGCGGCGCTTGCTTGCCTGCTTCAACTGGTTTGCGTGTCCCAGCCTTAATGTTGGCCCTTCCCAGAGAACCCAGCTTCTCTTGCAATACGGTTCATCGGCCACCCACTGTCACCGGTCCTTCCAAGCACCATATTGTTCTTCTGCCTGGCGCCAGCTCCTCCGTGAACGTGCAGATGGGAACACACATGAAGCTACCTTGCATTGAATCAGACCATCAGTGTATCAAGATGCTATTGCCTATTCTGACTATTAGCAGTTCTCCAGGGTCTCAGGCAGATGTCTTTCCCATCACCTACCACCTGGTCCTTTTAACTGGAGATGCCGGGGATTGAACCTGGGACCTTCTGCGTGCCAAGAAGAGGCTCTTCCACTGAACCACAGCCCCTATCAAGGTGCTATTGCCTATTCTGACTATTAGCAGTTCTCCAGGGTCTCAGGCAGATGTCTTTCCCATCACCTACCACCTGGTCCTTTTACCTGGAGATGCCGGGGATTGAACCTGGGACCTTCTGCATGCCAAGCAGAGGCTCTTCCACTGAGCCACGGCCCCTGTTCTTGAGGATGTCAGGCAGAGAGCCTTCCTGAGCAGATCCTTTAACTGGAGGCTCCTAGAATTGAACATGGACTGCATGCGGAATACATGCTGTTTCACTGAGCCCCAATTGGTTCTGGCTGCTTATGTCTGCACGTAGTCCGGTCTGGTACTGTGGGGCTTTAACAATGCTTAAGGGCTTGTGAAATATGAAGACCACGGCAGGTTTTCTCTTCCCCTTTGCCGGTGTGCCCAGCGTTTCAATTGATTTTTTTTTTTTAATTCCCCTGAGGACACAAAAGCAATCCGTGCGGAACAGGCTAGGCTTACCTTTTATGTATTCATTCCTTTATGGAAATGCTTGCTATCCCGCGTTTCCAAACAAATTGCGTGAGGAAGCCCACAGAAGTACAGACTGTGCCTGTAACGGTTGCATAAAATTTGTAAAGAACGGGGCGGGCGGGGGGGGGAGCAGTTATCAATAATACGTTTACGACAGTGCTAAGAAGGTAACACAGCAGTGAAAGCTGACTTTTCCTTTTACGATCAAGGAGGGCGCGAGGAAATAAAATAATTTTGTTCTCGGGCCTAGAAGGATGCAGCGCAGTTCCGAAACTGGGATGCTGCAACGGAGGCGGTCCTGAATCGCCAGTTCCAGGTTGGGAAATCCCTGGAGATTTGGGGCAATGCTCCCTCCAGGCTGTGGAGTCTTGTGAGCAGCAATTCTACTTTGTGAGCTACTGGCATTAAAGTTGTGAAAGAGCGATTTGGCTACTGCATCGATCAGTTTGCTCTGGAGCCATTTTGAAGACAAAATATGTGTGTAAGCCGGAGGCTACAAAACTGTGAGCTAGCCTACATTAACTCAGCTTAGAGGGAACACTGATTCTGGGATAACTCCAGGTCCCATCTGGAGGTTTATGAAGATAGAACAAGGGGAAAAGACAGTGTGCCCATTATCTAAAACAAATGAATACTGCAAATGCAATTAACAAGTCTTATTTTTGTTGTTCAGTCGCACAGTCGAGTCCGACTCTTCGCGACCCCATGGACTAGATCCCGCCAGGCTCTCCTGTCTTTATATTCAGTTATCAAGGTTTTCTTATACCAACTCCAAAAAGAATTAATACCACGTCAAAAGTTCCAAGCCAGAGTTGCGGTAGAACACATAAAGTCCCCAAACTCAAAATGCAGCAATCGTGAGCTGTAAATCAAGGTTACAATGTAACTCTACTGGTTCCGAAGTTCTCAATATGACAAATTCATATAACAGATCAACAGTTGGAAGTTATGCAGCAACGTGTATCCTAGGCGTGTAAACAAGTTTCCGTCTGCATTTTCAAAGCTGCAACTCATGCCAGTTTGGTGTAGTGGTTAAGTGCGTGGACTCTAATCTGGGAGAACTGGGTTTGATTCCCCACTCCTCCACTTGCAGCTGCTGGTGTGACCTTGGGTCAGCCACAAGTTCTCTCAGAGCTGTTCTCTCAAGGGCAGTTCTCAAAAGAGCTCTCTCAGCCCCACCTGCCTCACAGGGTGTCTGTGGTGGGGAGGGGAAGGGGAAGGAGATTGTCAGCTGCTCTGAGACTCCTTTGAGTAGCGCAGGGTGGGGTATAAATCCAATCTCTTCCTCTTCTTTTCTTCTAAGTGACTGGCCTATAGCAGAGCGGGGATTCGAACCTGGGTCTCCCCGATCCTAGTGTGACACTCTAACCCCTGCACCCCCACTGGCTCTTTTACTCCCAGTTAAGATTTTTTTTTAACCCATGCTCCATTGTTCTGCTAATTTTGGAGTTCTTCTGGCAGGGAGAATCCTGAATTGTAAGGGAGGGGCCGCGGCTCAGTGGCAGAGCCTCTGCTTGGCATGCAGAAGGTCCCAGGTTCGATCCCCGGCATCTCCAGCTAAAAGGGATCAGGCAGTAGGTGACGTGAAAGACCTCAGCCTGAGACCCTGGAGATCTGTAAAGAGGGGCTGTGGCTCAGTGGCAGAGCCTCTGCTTGGCATGCAGAAGGTCCCAGGTTCAATCCCCGGCATCTCCAGTTAAAAGGATCAGGTAGGAGGTGATGGGAAAGACCTCTGTGCCTGAGACCCTGGCTCAGTGGCAGAGCCTCTGCTTGGCATGCAGAAGGTCCCAGGTTCAATCCCCGGCATCTCCAGTTAAGGGGATCAGGTAGGAGGTGATGGGAAAGACTTCTCCCTGAGACCCCGGAGAGCTGCTGCCAGTCTGAGTGGACAATGCTGACCTGGATGGGCCAATGACCTGGTTCAGTATAAGGCAGCTTTCTGTGTCCACATCTATCGACACGATCTTATATTTGCTGAGCTTCTGTTAGACCGATATCCAGTGCGTCTGCCCCTTAATCTCTCTACATATTTGTGGTGTGGTGTTTGGCGACGAGGCACAGCAAAGATCTGGTATTTGAGCCCCCTCCTGGGTACGAGCTGAAAGGTTGCAATTCATCGAATGGAATTTAATCAGAACGGGATTTATTGTGTGGCGCGCGTCGACCCTACGGGCGCGAGACACCCCGCGAAACCCTGCCATTTGCAGACATTAAACGCCTGCCTTTTAAAAATTGAAGCCGGAAATGGTGTTTAAATCCCTCCTTCTCCAGCTGAGAAGCTGGGAACCCGGTGGTCGGCTCGCTGTTGCAAAAATGGGCAGAGTGCAAGCAGATTGTTGCCTTCATCGGGTCTGCCTCACTTGCCCGTTTCTCTCTGGGGTGGCAATTTCCTGCAGGGTTTCTTGGGAGTGAGCCCAGTCGATCTCAACGGGAGCTGTCGACGAGTCAATGTTTTCCTTCCTTCCTTCCTTCCTTCCTTCCTTCCTTCCTTCCTTCCTTCCTTCCTTCCTTCCTTCCTTCCTTCCTTCCTTCCTTCCCTTCCTTCCCTTCCCTTCCCTTCCCTTCCCTTTCCTTTCCTTTCCTTTCCTTTCCTTTCCTTTCCTTTCCTTTCCTTTCCTTTCCTTTCCTTTCCTTTCCTTTCCTTTCCTTTCCTTTCCTTTCCTTTCCTTTCCTTTCCTTTCCTTTCCTTTCCTTTCCTTTCCTTTCCTTTCCTTTCCTTTCCTTTCCTTTCCTTTCCTTTCCTTTCCTTTCCTTTCCTTTCCTTTTCTCTTCTTTCTTGCACGTGTGAAATATTTATATCTCACACTGTCGATGAAAACCTTTCTGGCACAGCCCACGACATCCGTTAAAGATAACGAAAGGCTAGAAACGAGAACCGGCAGCGCAGCGATTTAGGAAACAGTGCTATAACAACGCATCAAAGCAGGGATGAAAAGAGGGGAGATGGGTACAAAGAAAGGGAAGCAGGGGCTCTTTAGTCTAAAACCCGGAACAAAAAATGGTAGGACAACCAGCAGAGGGAAAACCGGGCAGGGCTGGCCGCTTTACAAAACAGTTTTGGGGAATAAAACAGTGTTTTCAGAGGATGCCAGAAGGACAGCAGATTCGGCGGCAAGTGAATTTCTGTTGGGATAGAGTTCTGGGGGCCACTCATCCTACCTGGGGAGGGGCTGTGGTTCAGGGGCAAAGCGCCTGCTTGAGGTCCCAGGTTTTATCCCTGGCATTTCCAGTTGAAAAGGAACAGGTGGTCTAAAGTGTCAGGCGGGTTTATACGATATATGATAAGTAAATAATATTTTTGTCGTCATGTCTGTTTTTAAATGGCTAGTCGCCTTGATGGCCGTTATTACTCTTACAGACATTTCTAGTGCAGTGTTGAGAGCGACACACTGTCAGCTATGCTGCCATGGGGGTTGGGGAGTTCATTCTGTGTCTTGGTAATTGCTCTTGCATTCCTATCCCTGCTGTTCGGCCTTTGCTGAAACGCTTATCTCTACAGATGTGCAGGAGGAGGTTGTGTTGTCTGGGAGTCTCCTATGTACAGCGAGAGACTCCTGGTTCCCAGCTTTAGCCACCTAATGGTTTCCTAACTTATCCCGCGTGATTGGAAGGGTACCTAATTTGCCCATGCCATGGGGGGGGTATGCATACAAATACCCTATATCCTATTAGGCTCTATTGGTTGCCACCATTCTCAACAGTGCCTGTGTTACTGCATCTATAGCTCTGCAATAAAAGTATAACCGTTCCTGAATGCGTGTACTGCGTTGTTGGCTGTGGGTTCTGACACACACGTTTAAAATGAGTGATGGGAAAAGCCCCTTTTGTCTGAGGTCGGAATCAGTGTTCCCTCTAAGCTGAGTGCAATAAAAGTATAACCGTTCCTGAATGCGTGTACTGCGTTGTTGGCTGTGGGTTCTGACACACACGTTTAAAATGAGTGATGGGAAAAGGCCCCTTTTGTCTGAGGTCGGAATCAGTGTTCCCTCTAAGCTGAGTTAGTGTGAGCCAGCTCACAGTATTTTAGCCTCTTGGCTAAACCTAAACGCCAAACAACTTCGGTGGGCTGATTTCTTCTCTAAGTTTCAATTCACCCTACACCATTTCCCGGGCAAATCAAACTCTCTGGCGGATGCCTTGTCCCGCCTACCGCAGCACAAAATACCCCCT